TTTGGCAGTGACCAATACCTGGAGAACCGGCTAATTCCCCCACTACAGTCAACAAGCAAATGGATGAGTGCTGTCAAAACTATACGGAACCGAGGCCTCTGTCTTCAGGCCGCTCATAAATTGAGGAATCGGGCGAATCGACCTCGTGCAGGACATTTCCAATGATTACTTTTGTAGATTTTGAGTGCTGTGACGACGATCCAGTTGTGGTGGAAGATGTATCTGGTGGCGAAGCGCTGCTAGCATTGCTTCTACAACTTGTCCACCTTGGTAATGGACGATATTTTCGATCCCACGGCGTATCGTACCTGCAAAATGCGTGAGCGATTTGTGAATCCAATGAAAATTGAGTAAAAAAGCGAAGCATCTGATGATAGAAGCAAATGAGAGAAATTATTTGAAAATTCAACTATTTATCAAAAAGAAAAAACCTTTACAAAGACTGCCTGAGCAATCACGGTGGGTACCCCAGATCAATGAGGTTTCTAGCATTCTCCCCGCATGTCAAGAGCAACTATGTCAGGCTTTTCTGCCTCGGACTGCATACCTTCAGGTTACTACCAACCGTCTGTTCAATGTATGAGCGCCAATTTTTTGTAGGTTACATTTGTTTATTATTTTATTCCTATTCCTATATTAATTAATATTGATTCTGTGGCATACTTTGTAGTAATTATTTAATGTGTAAAATCACTTCAAATATTTTCATTGAAAAGTACCACCAGTAAAAGTTTCGAGAAACAACTCATTAAATAAAGTTTTGAAGCATCATCCTAAACTGTATTATAAAACACAGAGCTTGAAAAAATTTCAAGCGAGTTATTTCCCTCAGAATACTTAAAAATCACAGCTGAAACTTATTAAGCCATAAAAGAATGTTGAGCCATACCGTGAACTCTCGGCAGAATCACTGGGCGATTCGACATGCACCACGGCAGCACTCAGATGACCGGTCCTACTGTACGGCTGGCAGCATTTCCTTGGTACTGCTTGAGCAGCTGTTTTCTTTTGCCGGATATATAAGAAAAGTAGGAATGCGCAAAGTGCGCTACTCAGTGCTGTTGCTAGCGCAAAACCGATCACCAGAATGTTCAAATAGCTTTCGTTGCTCACAAACTGCATAAAACCAATTTTCGTCTCCTCCGGATACTGAAATTTTTTTTTCGCTTATTTCCTCGCCAGCATCAAGATTACTCAGGTTTTCCACAACGTGGGACCTTGGAGGTAAAGCTGATCTTTGAATTACGTCAAATCCTAGAGTCCATGATACTCAAAAGAGAGGGATACCTGCTGATTTATGACAGTATCATCATGGTACTCAATACACCATGGACAGCGGTCCTCGTGCTTCTCGACAGCTACTGTACTGTTGAAACATCGTGCTGTCAAATCAATCACCAATTTACCGTCTCGTCTCACGGACAGTGCGCCTGATCGCTTTTGTACTCCTTTAGGATTCTAGAA